TGTGACACAGAGGGAACATTGATAAATCATCTTTTTCCCCTTTTCTTTTTGAAAGCGAGTACACATTCAAGTTCCTCTATAATGAAATGCTAGACAAACCCACCAAGGCTCTGTGTTGTTATAATATGCCTGCACGTTTATGATTTTTATCATGTCACTCAATGGGGAGAATGGTGACGGGGGTGGGGGGGCTTCTGGGCCAAGCTGGGAAAGCACTCATTCACAATACATTATGTGCGAAAGTGGAGAGAAATCAAGGCTGCGTAATTAAAGGAAATCAGTCCCATCGTGAAACATTTAAGGATTTGTCTTTTTTTTGTGGGCGGGAATAATGGAATGGAAATAAAAATGGTAAATTTTTAAATGTCTTTCCATTTAAACCTCATATATAAAAGCAGCAGTTAAGCACTTTGAATGAATTATCCAAGACCTTTCTCAATATTTAGGCTTTTCTTCATTTTCACTGTGCACTGCTGGCTCATATAACCCTGATATCCAGTTTTAAGGTTGTTGCATCCAACGTGATCAACTTGGCCCCTTTCAAAGCACCTATCTCCTAGAAGGGTGCAGCTCTTCTTCAATCACTGACCCCAGTGTCCGTCCTTTCAAAACGTCCCCAAAGTCTGCATTCTGTCTCTGTCCACCCAGCCCCATCTTTCTCCCATGTCCACTTACCACCTCTCTTTCGCTTTCTTTCTTTCTCTCACACACACACACACACACACTTTCTCTCACCCTCGACCTTCCTTCTCTCCGTCCCCATCCATTTCTCTTCCCCCCCTTCTCCAGTGTCCTGTGATGTAATGACATCTGACAAGCACCACAGTAGGGATGGAAAGATAGATGGTGGGAGGGGAGGGGTTGCAGCGACTGTGTGTTTAGGGGGGTTAGCGCTCTCGCTTTGGATTTGCTGGCTCGGCCTTCATCTCGCCCTGCTCCTTCTCTGTTCAGCACATATTCTAGAGGACGGGAGGCCCAGGGAAGCACAGGATATCACGCCTGTTTTCTGCATGTATAGAGGAGCTTGGGTTGCGGCTGTGTGCGAGTTTGTGTGTCTGTGAGAGCGAGAGAGAGAAATGAGACGAGGGCTGCAGAAAGGAAGCATGGGGGCGACTTAATAGAGACGGTTTCTTTTTT